TGCTAACAGCAGAGCGTCATGCTAACAGCAGAGCCTCATGCTAACAGCAGAGCCTCATGCTAACAGCAGAGCGCTGACATGAGTCTGATTTTTTGTTTTTCTCAGGTGTGACGGAACCAAAGAAGGCGACTGATCCCAGAACAGGAACTACGACCCGACAGAAAGGACAGACCAGACTCTCAGCTTCCTAACGTAAGAGACGGAGGACTGACTGCTGCTCTCTGTCTTTAATCAGTTAACCCTTCATTCATGCATTCGTGCATTTGTTCATTCACTAACTCTTTCACTCATTCATTCGTTCATTCATTCATTCATTCATTCATTCATTCATTCACAGAATGAAGGATCCTAGATAAGCAGCAGTATTTATAGTTGAGTCTTGTGAAACCAGAGGAATCTACAGCAGCAATACCCTGAGCTTTGGCTCCATGCGGCACTTTGTTTTCACTCTTAGTGAAGCTTCTTCACTGCTGGTTCTCTGTTTTTATTCCAGAGGCCTCTAAGCTGAAGCTGTGGACCTGAGGGGGTCTGTGGGAATCATCTCAGACTCTGCAGGAACCCGGAGCCTCTCAGGATGATCGGGACCAAGACGACACGGTTCGGCGCCTCCAGCGGCTCTCAGTGAGGTGCTGGGATTCAGAGCACCTGATCGCAGACCGTCTGGCTGCTGTCCGTCTGCGTCTGGTTGATTTAGCAGCAAAGCTGAAAACTACTGCTCCACCCCCCACCCCCAGACTCATCCTAACGTCTTCCTCACATCCAGGTTGTTGTAGTCTAGTTACCCCCCAGGTGTGACTGTGGGATGCAGCGTTCACCTGGGATTTCTCCTCACTGCAAAGGAAATTAGCTCATAAATTACAGTTTAGCTCTAATTCTTTTTCTTTAAGCTGTCAAAATCCCTAAAATCTGGTTTTCTGTGACGTTCAGGAAATGGAGTCCGTTTCATAAAGCAGGATTAACTCTCTAAAATGATCTAGAATAAAGTCGGGAACTCTGAGTTTGATGTTTCACAGCAGCTTCTATAACTCCAAGTAGAACCCCTCACAGTGTGGCGCCTGCGTAACAGGAAGGTAAAGCCCTGATTCCACCAGTCACCACGGCAACAGGAAACAGGAAGTACCTATTTCACCCACTGGAACTAGAGATTTAATGAAGAAATGGGAAAAAGGAGAATGTGTTTTAAAAAAGCGCTACAATTGAGAGGAGAAGGAGGATATTGCTGCTGGAGTTTATATGAAGTGGGCTATGGCAGGCCGTTTTAACATTTATTAAAAGCACTCTGATGTTCCATTTGTACATCACTAAAATAAGATAGAAATCACACTCCTAGACTGAACTGTAATAATCGATTTTATAAATTACATTTTTGTAGCAGAAACTGAATTTCAGAAGGTAAAAAACAAATTATAATAAGAATTAAGTTTTATTTACCTAGAAATGTTTCCACATTTTAAGTGTCTGTTCTGACATTTATCAGCTTGACTAAAAATGTATTTATATCTGAAATAAATTCCTTCATAGTCAAAATAATACAGATGATGAACAGTAATATTAGGAATATTGAGATCTGAAATTAATTCATAGACATCCAGAATATTCATTCTAGATGTGAAGAGTGTCATTTTGTGTGGGAGGACATAGAACTTAGACTCCAGAGGTTCTGACTTCAAGTCCCACTCCCACAGCCTCCACTCTGGGTCCCTGAGAAAGACCCTTAATGCCGCACAATGGCAGCCCACTGCTCCCCGAGAGGAGGGGTTACATGCAGAGAGGGAATTTAATTTAAATGGTCGTTATTAGCGGCTATCAGTCCCATAGAATGGCTTCAGATTGGGCCAGTAGACTCAGAGGTTATCATTCCAATAAATGGTCGTTATTAGCGGCTATTGGTCCCATAGAATGGCTTCAGATTGGGCCAGTAGACTCAGAGG